AGAAGGGAAGCTAGTTAGATATGAGCACAAACCAAAAAAAACAGCCATCAGGAAATGTATGGGTAATACATGCATCTGTGCAAGTAGCTCAGCTGAGAGGTGGGACCCTGCGTGCAGACAGCCGAACCATCAGGAATTGTCTGGGCTGCCTGGATAGGAAACCTTCCTCTCACCTCAGATGTGGTCGCATGTGAAAAAATTATGGTAGTTGTCAAATTTCTTTAAAAGGCAAAGGAGCGGGAACCTGGGAAATTCCAGACTGGTTAGCCTAACTTTTGTTCCAGGAAAGATAGTGGAAAGCCTCTGGATTTTCAGAAAGCATTTGACACGTTCCCTCACCAAAGGCTGCTGAGAAAACTCCACAGTCTGGGGATAAGAGGGCAACTCTTATTGCAGATTGGTTGGGAACCAGGAAGCAGAGAGGACGTATCAATGGGCAAATTTTCACCATGGAGGGAGGTGAAGAGTGGTGTCCCTTCAGGGATCTCTCCTGGGACCGGTGCTTTTCAACCTATTCATCAATGACCTGGAGACAGGGATAAACAACGAGGTGGCCAAATTTGCAGATGACACAAAATTTTTCTATCTGGTGAGAACGAGAAGGGATATTGTGAAGAGCTCCAGAAGGATCTCTCCAAATTGGGAGAGTGGGCAGAAAAATGGCAAATGTGTTTCAGTCTAAGAAAATGTAAAGTAATGCAAATGAGGTAAAAAAAAATACAAACTTTACTTATTAGCTGGTGGGTTCTGAGCTGTCCCTGAGAGATCAGAAAAGAGATTTTGGCGTGCTGGTAGATAGCTTGATGAAAGGGTCAACCCAGCTTGCGCCGGCAGTGAAGAAGGCCAATTCTCTGCGAGGGATCATTAAAAAGAGGATTGAAAGTAAAACAACCAGCATTCTGGAGCCATTGTACAAAACAATGGTAAGGCCATACCTGGAGTATTGCATACTGTTCTGGTTGCACACCTCAAAAAAGAGAGAGTGGAACTGGAAAAGGTGCAGAAGAGAGGGACCAGAATGATAACTCATCTCCTAGGGAGGAAAGGCGACAGCGTTTGGGGCTCTTGAGTCTAGAGGAAAGGCACCTGAGCGATTGAGATGCATAAAATTATGCAGAGGCTCTTTTTCCTTTATTGTAGTACCAGAACCAGGGGACATCCCCTCCAATGAGAGAGCTGCTTGAGTGAGAACAGAGGAAAGAAAATATTTCTTGACCCAGCATGTTGTTAGTCTGTGGAACTCCTTGCCACAGGATGTGATGACATCTGGCCTAGATGCCTTGAAAAGCTGGAAAAGCCCATCGCAGGTGACAAGCCATCATGGGGATGTATAATTTCCAGGTTTAAAAGGAACATACCTCGAAATGCCAGAGACACGGGAATGGCATCAGGAGACAGGGGAATGGTATCAGGAGACAGGGATCTCATCTTGTGGGTTCCCAGAGACATTTGGTGGGGCCACTGGAAGATACAGAAAGCTGGACTAGTCGGACCCTTGGTCTGATCCAGCAGGGCTTTTCTTAGGCTCTCAGGTTGTCTTGAATGTCTCCATTGGTGAAACACTCTTGTCCTCCTCTGAACTTGCTGCAATTTGTTAGCATCCTTCTTGAAGTGCAGTGTCCAGAACAGGACACAGTACATTGGATGAGGCTTAACCAATGTTGAATAGAAGGGAAGCAGGACCTTGTTGGATTCCCACCAAAAATAGTGTTTGCCTTTTTTGTAGCCACATCACACTTCTGGCTTCTACTCAGCTTGTGATCTATGACGATTCATTCTTTCATGTCTGCAAAATGTTTCAAATACATCCAAACCAGAATCTCTCACCATCCGTCTCCGTGACAAGCAGTGTATCAAGATATCCCGGTGCAAAAGTTTTCGGTATGCTGTTCAGTGTAAAGTCTCATTATGTTGTTAGAAGAAAATGAGATGTTAATCTGGGATGTTGGCAGGACTTAACAAAAGAAACAAATAACGATGCACAAAGAGATTGGACCAATGCAAACTGTCAACTGTCCGCCATGAAAAATGAAAGGAAAAAAATCATGTCCCTCCCCTCAGGCTTCTTTTCTCAAAACCAAACATGCCCAGTTCTTTCCTTCTTTCTATGTTGGCTTTCGGTTCTTACTGCATTGGTTTCAAAGTGCTTGCAGAGTGTACGCTTTGTAATCTCTGCAAAAATTTTCCCTCAGATGAAAGTCAGGCTGACTGATCTGCAGTTGCCTGGTTGCCTGGTTCCCCCTTTTTAAAGATGGGGACAGTGTCAGCTCAACTCTACCTGGCTGACTCTTCACCAACCTGCCATGATGACAATAAAATATTAAACAGTTGTTCTGCAATTTCTTCAGTTCTTCTGGCCGTGGAGTTTGGAACTCATTGAGACAAGTAAGGTTTTTCATTTATGTTGGCACTCCTCTTTCATCCCTTTTTCTTTCTCCATCAGGTGATGAGCAGGACACCTGGAATTCTGTGGACTCCATCGTTTTTTCAGTTAAGAAAAACAAACAAATGTAAAGCACCAAAAATAATAATAATTCTACACCCTTAAAAGAGGAAAAGAGAAGAGAAGCCAGGAAAAAAGAGATAAAGAAAACTCCAGCTTCTCCTAATATTGAGATGGATGCACATCTGATCACCTGAAAAAATCAACAGGGAAAAGGAAGGAGAAAAGGTTCCCTGGCCAGAGAAAACATTCAAAGGATTTTCAGATGACAGTAGACTTGACAAAATCCACCGAGAGGAGTAATGAAGTGAAAGCATAGAAAAAGGAAAGTGCATCATGATGAACAGTGATTGTACTTCATGTGAAAAACCCCTGAGAAGTGAGAAACAATACAAATGGCAACATCAAAGACTTCACAGTGGGGAGAAACCATATAAATGCATGGAATGTGGAAAGAGTTTCAGGCAGAAAAATGGCCTGAGCTCACATCAAAGAACTCACTCTGGAGAGAAGCCCTATAAATGCATGGAATGTGGGAAATCTTTCAGTCATGGCAGTAGCCTCTGTTACCATCAAAGAACTCACAAGGGAGAGAAACCATATGAATGCAAGGAATGTGGAAAGAGCTTCAGTCAGAGCAGTCACCTGAACAGACATCAAAGAACTCACACTGAGGAGAAACCATATGAATGCATGGAATGTGGAAAGAGCTTCAGACAGAAGAGTGGGCTGAGCTCACATCAGCGAACTCACACTGGGGAGAAACCATATGAATGCATTGAATGTGGAAAGAACTTCAGCCGGAGCAATAGTCTGCATTCACATCAACGAACTCACACTGGGGAGAAATCATATAAATGCATGGAATGTGGAAAGAGCTTCAGTCAGAGGAGTAGCCTGCGTTCACATCAAAGAACTCACACTGGGGAGAAACCATATGAATGCATGGAATGTGGGAAGAGCTTCAGCTGTAGCAGTGCCCTGAGTAAACATCAGAGAACTCACAGTGGGGAGAAACCATATAAATGTATGGAATGTGGGAAGAGTTTCAGTCTTAAGAATAGCCTTAGTTCACATCAGAGAACTCATACACGGGAAAAACCATATAAATGCATGGAATGTGGGAAGTCCTTCAGTCATGGCAATAGCCTCTCTTTCCATCAGAGAACTCACAAGGGTGAGAAACTATATAAATGCATGGAATGTGGAAAGAGCTTCAGCTGTAGCGGTGCCCTGAGTAAACATCAGAGAACTCACACGGGAGAGAAGCCATATAAATGCATGGAATGTGGGAAGAGCTTCAGTTTTAAGAATAGCGTCAGTTTACATCAGAGAACTCATACACAGGAAAAACCATATAAATGCATGGAATGTGGGAAGAGCTTCAGTTTTAACAGTAACCTGCGTTCACGTCAAGGAACTCACACTGGGGAGAAACCATATGAATGTATGCAATGTGGAAAGAGTTTTAATCAGAGCAGTCACTTGCGTTCACATCAAAGAACTCACACTGGGGAGAAACCATATGAATGTATGCAATGTGGAAAGAGTTTTAATCAGAGCAGTCACTTGCGTAAACATTGGAGAACTCACACTGGGGAGAAGCTATGAGAATGCATGGAACGTGGAAAGAGCTTCACTAACCTGCTTTCACATGAACGAACACACACCGGAGAAGCCATATAAATGCATGGAATGTGAGAAGAGTTTCAGTCTAAACAAGAACCTTAGTTTACAACAAATAACTCATACACGTTAGAAACTATATAAATGCTTGGAATGTGGAAAGATCTTCAGTCAGAGCAGTAATCTGAGTTCACATCAGTAAACTCAAAATGGGGAGAAAACACATGAATGCATGTGATGTGGGAAGTGCTTCAGTTAAAACCATAGAGTTAATTCACGTCAGAGAAGTCACACTGGGGAGAAACAGAGAATGTGGAGAGATGCTATGATAGCCGTTACCTCCATTTGCATCAAATTACTCTCTCTGATGAGAAACTATCTAAATGTATGGAATGTCAAAAATATCATTTTTTAAATTAGTCTATTAATCAAGAAATGTATTTAGAATAGGCAGATGGGACTTCTATTTTATCCTGGAATGCTGAGTTTCGTCTTCTGAGTAAAAAGATAAACTCTGTCAATAGTTAGGAAATTAACCACAGAAATTAACAACGCTGTTGAAAAAAGTAACCAGAAATCAACCACACACAAAAAAACTGCACAATTACAATTTGTAGTGACTTAGATTAGAAAGGCCAGTGTTGGAACTGATAATGGGTGAATGAAAGGATGCCTTCAATGAACACCAGGCTTGACCAGAGTCGAAAGGTTATGAGTGACAGAGTGTGACAGAGTGTGTGTGGGTTCCAGAAACACACACCCCTCGAACCTGAGAACCAGCTTTCCTACTCAGTTATGGATTCTAGAACTTTGCTGACCCAGGAACAGGTGGAATGGTCATGGCAGCAGTTCGACGAGTGCAAGGAGATTTTAATTCATGGGAAAGTTATGCGTATATTTGCAGAGACATGGCAGCCGATCTTAGCTCTATAAGCTCAGCCTGTCAAGGTAAAATGGACACCAGAATGCCAAGGTGCTTTTGAAGCTTTGAAGGCCAAAATGTATTTTGAAGTCACCTGATTTTGACAAAACCTTTTATTTTGCAAACGGATTCTTCTGATTTTTGACTAGGAACAGCATTGTTGCAGGAAGGGGATGATGGCATTTGTAGTCCAATTTCATTTTTCTCCAAGAAACTTCTAGAACATGAAAGAAATTATTCTGTTCCAGAAGAGACACTTCAATAATTTGGTCACTTCAGCATCTACGCCCATATCTTTGGGGTCACAGATTCATTCTGCAGACACACTATAGAGCAGTGATCCCCAACCTTGGGCCTCCAGATGTTCTTGGACTACAACACCCAGAAGCCTCCACCACCACTTCTGCTGGCTAGGATTTCTGGGAGCTGAAGTCCAAGAACATCTGGAGGCCCAAGGTTGGGGACCACTGCTATAGAGCGTTGTTTTGGTTGCAGAAGATGAAATCTCATAATCAGAAATTGTTGAGATGGAGCTTGGCTTTACAAGATTTTGATTTTGATGTTCAACATATTCCTGGAAAACTAAATGTGGTGGCAGATAGTCTTTCCAGAATGCATTGTGGAGATCCAGATGTGGCAAATGATTGAAACATTTTGTTGTATTGTTTCAGTATTGATGTGTATCTGAGCATACACAGAGTGTATTCTGTTGATTATCACTAATATGACTGTTTTTCTATTTTTCAGATTAGTAGAAGTGCTTAACCCACTCTTTTGTGTTCAATGCTTTGCTAGATTAGATGTAATTTTTGGAATCCTAAAGGGTGGCATATCATGGTTATAAATATGAAGGTTAAAATCTGTAATGAAGATGGGTTTTGTAGTGGAGAAAAAATGTAAAATGAATCCATATTGGTTCTGTTTTAAAATTAGTTTGCATGATTGTAATGTTTTCTCCAGAAGAGGATGGGAAAGGTCCTTGTACACAGCACTGTCAGTAGATGATAAGGAATGGAGACAAAACATGTTGTCGAGATTCGCACTGAGATCAGGAGAAGAAAACAACACCTGGATTCTCATGGGAATAAAAGGCGGGATGAGAATGGACTGTCTTAAATGCCTATTGGTCAACACCTCAAGAGACGAAGAACGGTGGTGCTAAGAAGATAGTAAAATGGAAGATTGTGCCACGTGGACTGTTCCTTAGTCTATTGTGAGGCTTAGGAGCCATTTTGTGTTTTTCCCCCTTATGTCAGGATGAAGGGAGTTGGAATGTAGAACAGCAGAGAGAGGAAGGGGGGGGGCTACACCCTTAGTGAACTTTGTTATGATTTTATCTGCAATATTCTATGGAAATGTAATTCATGCTTGGCTTATGCAACAAACTGAATATAAAGTCTTTATTTTTCAATTAAAGAATATTCTTAAAAATCCTTAAGAATTGTCTTTTGAACAGCAGGTCTGCTGAGCCTGCTTCCAGAGTGATTGTGAGGCCACAGAATGCTACAGAGTCCAACCTTCCTGAGCTTTAGTAGACCTTAAGGGACTACAAAGCTCATGTGTTGGTTCTTGCTAAACTTAAAGAAGTGCATGCAGGAAACTTTTTAGGACAGACTTGTGAGAAGGGGTCTGTTGTATGCCCAGACTGAGGTCATCTGGACTCTACCCAGCTGTTTTGGGGTACTCAGATGTTCAAACACCCTCTGTTCGGGGATCAAGCACACCCTTAGGGGATGCAAGGTCCTGACATCCCTTATACCCTTGAGGTTGATTCGGAGACTTCAACTGGTCCAAAATTTGGTGGCCACGTTAATAACTGGGTGTGAAGGAGAAGTACAAGAGAGTGAGCTGTCTGTGGTTATAGAGGCAGTGATAGAGGGAGAAGTGGAATAACTAATGAGAAGGTGGAGGATGCAAAGGAGAAGGAGGGAATAGTGGTGAAGGAAAGAAAAGGGGAAGTGAAGATTTGCTTGGAGGAAGAGTGAAGGGAAAAGGGGAGAAGCAGAAGTGTCAGAGGAGGATATAAGTAGGCAAAGGGGAGCATTGGATTGACAGTCCTGGTGTGGGATAAGAAGGAGGGAAAAGACTAAGAGAGATAGAACATGTCAAAACACAAGGGCTACTATCTGACCCTGAACCGGGCATTGAGGGAGACACCAAGTATGCAACACACGAGTGGACAGTGTTCATGTTCCCGAAGGCTTCCAAAGGAGGAAAAGACATGATTCAACCCAATAGCCAATTTAATGCTGCGGAACATTATGCGCTGGGCAGAGAGCACCATTACGGAGACCCACCAATCGTGAGCGATTTGGCTGACCACCTCTGTGAGTCCCTTGGATTATGGAAAAGTTCCCCAAGTTATGGCCTGTTGCTGGAGTTGACGTGTTTTGATCCCATGAATAATGTTATAGAAATTGGTAGTATCAATATAGACAACGATTTGAATATGGTTAAAACGTCTCTGCTTTATTTTCCCGCCAAAATGGAGGAGTTGCCAGAAGAGAAAGCAGAACCCGTTGACACTGGGGTGAAGTAATACCAACATAGCTCACTGTGACAGCCTCCTCACATGTCACAAAGGAGCTGCCACGTCACTCTCACACACACACTTTATTCTCGCTGCCACCAACCATTCCTTCCACTGAGACTTCAGGCAAATATATGATTTTTAAAATAAAAACTTGAGTTTATTGATAATAACAGAAGAAATGGTAAATCACTGTATTAACTGAAATAATAAGGCAATCAATATAAAGTATCACCCACGCACACACTCTCTCACAGACCTTCTATATCTATATATAGCACAGTATTACAGAACCGGTACAAGCCCTAACTCCTATCAACCCTATCCAGTCCCTAACCAGACCCTATCTGTCCCTATCTAAAGCACACACCTCATTCACTCCCCCTTATATACCTTAGCTCCACCCCCTTATGTCCCACCTCCCGTCACGCTATTGGCGGATGACATGAAGCCACAGCAGTGACGGGCAGATGATGTCACCGCTATCATAACACTCCCCCATTCAGGCCACCCTTCATTGCCTACCAGTTCATTTCCACATCAACTTCAAGGTTATGATGTTAAATATTTAAAGCCCTAAACAATTTAGGATGTCGGGATCTATCAGAATGCCTGCTCCCAGCGAGATCTGTCCATAATACCCATTCTTCACAGGCAGGACAGTTGAGGGCCTTGACCCCAAAGGAGGCCTGGAAGGGAAGAAAAAGAAACCAGGCCTTCTCAGCAGTCACCCTATAGAGCCTGTGGAACAACCTGCCCATGGAGATCTACCGGGCACCCTTGCTGAATGGGCTCAAATGAGCACTGATGATTTGGCTCTTCCGCCAGGCTTTCCCTGAGCAACAGACTTAAAAGAACAGAAATGCAAAACACCGTCCTGCTATTTAAAAAATTCCCTTCGACGGTGAGTCTCAAAACACCCCCATCAAGCTGGGGTTTTGCTGCTGAGAGGCAGAAGGGAAGGAAGAGGAGGGGGCTGGTCTGGGCCAGGGGCTACCAGTGTCTTCAGTAGGAATATCAGGTGGAGTTGACCAGAGTAGAAATGTTATGAGTGACAGAGTGTGACAGAGTGTGTATGGGTTCTAGAAACACCAGCCTCTCAGACCTGAGAAGAAGATGGAGAAATCGCAAGGGAAGTTGGGATAGTGTGCGTACTACAGAGCTGCAAAAGAAGATGTGAGTTACAGATAGAGACACTTTTGTTATTAATAAGAGATGGCAGTTTGGGGAAAGGCTTGGACTTTTGCACTGGTTGTGCCCAGACAAGAGGGAAATGAACAGGATCAAGAAGTCCAAATACAGTGGTGCCCCGCATAGCGATGGTTAATCCGTTCCGGATTAACCGTCGCTATGAGGAAACATCGCTAAACCGAAAGTAAAAATCCATTGGAACGCATTAAACTTCATTTAATGCGTTCCAGTGGGGCCCAAACTCACCGTTCAGCGAAGTTCCTCCATAGCACCGCCATTTTCGCGCCCTCGGTAAGCGAGGGCAGGGCGTAAAACCGCTGCATGCGGCTATTTTGGAACCGCCAAACAGCTGTTAAAAACGCTTACTGATTGTCGTAATGTGATGTTTAGCCTATCAAATGTGATGCCGCTATGAGGATTCATCGTTAAACGGTGCACTCGTTAAGCGAGGTACCACTGTAGAACTAAAATGGGAGAAAGCTGGCTTAAGAAAGAGGAAGTAGGCTTGCTGAAGCCAGGGTCTGCCCTGTGTGCTTGTGCTAGCCCAGGTTTAGTTCATTAACCCAGGAAGAGATGGGGGGCTTTGGAACAACCCCATGACCCTTTCTGAGGACTGATCACTGTGACACAACTCCGTCTCTGCGACCTTTATTATGTTCTGGTTCCTCAGAAAGATGCAAACTGCATCTATCTTCCTCACACTGCCACCAGATGTATTCTTTTAAACATCAATCAATTCAGGGACACACCATTTAACAAAAGCATTAAGTTTATTTATCAGGGTGGGGTTAATGTTTGGTTGAAAATAACAGAGTCAGTCACAGGAAGCAAATCACTTAGATAAGTATGTTTATCCTTTTATTGCTTCACTATACAGTGGTGCCTCTCTTAACGAGCGCATTGTTTAATGACAAATCTGCATAGCAGTGTTTTTTGTGATCATTTTTGTGATCGCATTGTGATGTTTTAAATGGTAAAACATCTCTTTGCGACGATCGGTAAGCTGTTTTGCTTAACGATTTTTGCATGGCGATGTTTTAAGAACAGCTGATTGGTGGTTCCAAAATGGCTGCCGGGTTAAAAAAAAATGTTTTTTCGCGCCCATTCCTCGCTTACCGGGCAGCGAAAATGGCGGCCGTATGGAGGATTTTCGCATAACGGTGAGTTTTTTTACCATAGGAATGCATTAAGCATGCTTTAATGCATTCCTATGGGCTTTTTTGTTCCACATAGCGACGAATCCATATAGTGATGATTTTTCTGGAATGGATTATCATTGCTATGCAGGGCACCACTGTATTTCCCAATCTCTGATTTCAATCTACCTCAGTCAGTCCCCTTTGAACCTCTGATCTCAATCTTTATGTTTGACCTCTCACTGTACTCTCACTCTCTCACTGTATCACACTCCTCCACTCTCACAGTTACCCTATCTATCTCACACTCCAACAAAACTCTTCAGACAGAACTCTAAACCCTCTGTCCTCCAGACTCTTCCTTTCGTACCCCCCTTCTCTCTTGCTCCCACCTTCTGTCCTTCTCATTGGCTCTCCTGCCAAGGTTCCCTGGTGACGGACATGTGCTGACTGGGGTACCTGGTACATACCTCCCTCCTTAAAAAGTTGTTTCTTGGGGTGAATATACAGTGGTTAGCCCTAGGAACAAAGC